GGACCAAACTTAATATTGTAGCCATATCTTAAGATCTAAAAAATGATATTGATAGATTCTAATTGGGTTAGATAAAAATAGACTTCTAGATATTTCCAACGGTATATTATTTGTCTTAATTTGAGTTCTGGATCAAAAGTTATGATAAAAACAAAAAATGCAAAAAAAATGAAAAATTATACGGGTGGAAACGCCTAGAATTTTCGAATCTCCCAGGGACTTTTGAAATTCTAGGCGTTTCTCCCCCTAGAGTTTTGAAAAATTTAGGCGTTTGGCCTCCAAAAAAAATTAAAAAAAAAAACAGCTTAATTTCGGCGATGTGTCTGATGACTTTGCCCTCGGTTGGTGGCGGTTTGTTGGGAGGAGAGAATGTACGATTGAGTTAGAGGCCAAGGAAGAAAAATATGAAGTACACACGAGGGTATATTTGTCCATTTAAGTTTAAATGCGGGCGTTACCTAGTAAAATAAGAGCGTCGTTTAACAACTTATTTTTTGTGCTCTTGGGTACAAAAAAAAAACAAAAAAAAAAAAAGAAAAAGTTAGCTACTACCAAAATATATATTACTAGGAGTTTAGGACTAGTATGTGTTAAGTCGCAGCATGCTAAATAAGTTCAAACGCACCCTACGCGGTTTAATTTGAGAAAATACAAGTTTGAAGTTTATTCTGTGGAGGCGGATGCATGATGCTTCGCACATCCGTTTTTTCTTTTTAAAAGACGGAATGAACATATAGTTGTTTAGTAAAGAACATATACTTGTTCAGTAAAAAACATATACTTGTTCAGTAAAGAACGTATAGTTATTTTATAAAGAATATCACATGTAGTTGTTTTGTAATGAACATATAGTTGTTTTGTAAATAACATAAAGTTATAAAAAAAAAACATCTAGCTTTAAGTTCTTTATATATATATCTAAAGAACTTTTGTAATATAAATACAGAACATGATAATATAATGTAATAAACATTATTTTTATTCAACCACCATAAATTAAGGACAAAATTCAAAGAACATTTTAAAATAAACAATTAACATTATGTCACAAATAAATATACATTTTGACAATCAAAGAACATGGAGATAAAGAACATTATTTAACAGCATGTTCTTTTCACTATAGGTATATATTCATTATATTTTAGTAGTATGTTCTTTTCACTCTAGGTATATGTTCATTACATTTTAATAGTACGTTCTTTTCATTGTAACTATATATATGTTCATTACATTTCAATAATATGTTTATTTCGCTTTATAGAATATGAAAAAGAACATTTTACTGTATCTTAATGTACATTGTATTATTTAATACAACTTTTTCTGAATTTGTTTATTTGCTTGCTTTCTTTTTTCAAAATGTATTAATTGGTCAGTTTTCTTCAAGAATTTCATACCGTTTCTCATTGCAACACCAAAACCACATAAATCACAAATTAATTCCCCCCCCCCCAAAAATATAGCCAAAAATTACAATTTTCAACCAATTTATAAAAAACAAACACTTGAACTCAACATAAATAAGTATGAATGTCGAATATGATCTTACCTTTCATTTTTGTCTTTCATCTTGCACCAAAAAGTTCGAAATTCACGAATTTTTTCTTAGGGATTGATGAATTTGAAGCGATTTTCAGTTTTTTTTTGGGAGAGAAATCTTCTAGAGAGAGAAAACTTCTAGAGAGAGTATATTATTTGAAATGATTTGAAATTATTGTATGGTTTTTCCTTTTTTACAAAATTGAAGCTCAAAATAACTCATATACATTAGAATTGAACAATATGTTCTTTTCTATAGCCATGTACATTATGATATAAGATGATGTACATTCCGCTTTTTTAAAAAACAAAACATTTGTGTTTTATTCACAACCCAGTGCGTTTTGGAGCGGATGCACCATGCGGATCGTGCATCCGCCTGCAAGAACCACAGATTGATACAAGTTTACCATTTTGATAAACAAATTATAAATTAATAAATCATATATATATGTGTATATATTGTTTCGGGGTTTTTTGATGTCCTGCGAGAGAGTTACAGTTCCAAGATTGACCTCTGGACGCTTGTACCTGCAAAACAACGGAGACTCCGGTGGGTGGGAGTTCCGCCTCCGACGATCAAGTTAGAACGTGTCGTGGCCTGATTGGTTTGTGTTTGGGATGCAATTTAGGAAGGTGTTATTCGTCCGTCACATGTGAAGACTGCTGACTAAGGCTTTAGGGAAGCAACAATTTATGTATCTACTTGGCAAGTTGGGCATTTGTAACTTGCAATGCGGGGGGGGGGGGTGTTAAGCCCTAATATTGTGTTTAGTATTGTAATTAGCTAAATGGGCCAATGTCTAAGGCCTACTCTCTTCTTTAGGTTGTATATAAACCTTGTGATTATAGTAATACACACTAAGAAAAATTGATTCCCGACAGTAACTAAAGCTATAAAATTGTTAAAATTACCCTTAAATTGACCCTCCGTCTTGTGCAAATGTATAACTATACTTGACAAGAAACAAAATACAAATATAATTAGGATTTCTTTGTAGATGCAGAGAAACTAAATTAAGTGGATGCAGAGAAACTGAAAATAAGGGATATCTAGCTGCAAATAGGCAAATATGCTTTGTTTGACTTACCAACTACAATACTTATATTGCAAATCAGCATGACCATCAGCCGGTTAATGTTTATTTCTTGGCTAGTAGGATGACTCGAAGCCACCAATACTAGTAAATAACAACAGCAAAACAGAATTAAAGAAATAATTGTAATGGAATCGAGCTAAGTTAATTTCTACATATGGACGGAATTTTTGTTGGGTTTGAAGACAAACAGAATATTTGGAAAAGGGTTGATAATGAAAAGAAATTAATATAATGGTGGTGTAGATGAATATTTATAATGGATTAAGGGCAGGGTTTTGCTGTTACTTGGAAGCCAAGATTATGAAGGGAAAAAAAATAGAAAGGCGCCGTTGCCGGGGATCGAACCCAGGTCACCCGCGTGACGGACGGGAATACTTACCACTATACCACAACGACTTTGTTGACAGAGACAACTAATCATTAATCTTAGTAATGTAAATTGTTACTATATATTTGTATTTTCTTCATTGTCGGTTCCTCGGTGGAATTTTTTAGGTCTTTATTTTTTTTTTTGTTGTATGTTTGTTTTATAATACTCCATATATTTTTAAATACTTGCTCCATTTCTTTATGTGCGGAGTTTTAGGAGAAATTGGAGAAAGTAATACATTATAGAGGTGGTGGGGGTATGAGAACGAATAAAAAATTGTTATAAACAAAAGTAGTTGAGAGAATTGGAGGAGAGAGAATATGAAATTAATAAAATTTAATTGTAAGAGATTTCCAAATAAGGAAGTGGAATAAGTATTAAAATGGCCAAAAAAGGAAAGTGGAGTAAATATTTAAAAACGGAGGGAGTAATTATTAACTTCTGAGTATGAACACTTGTATTATATTATTAGGAGTTTAGGACTAGTGTTAGTTAAATCACGGCATGCTAAATAATTTCAAACACACAATAAGCTGTTTTATTTGAGAAAATACAAGTTTAGTACCTTGATAAACAAATTTTATTTAGAAAAAAGAAAATTTTCACTTTTGCTACCAGTAAAACACACGTATTGCACTTTTGCTACTGGGGAAAATTTTAATTTCATTTTACTACCATACAAAACACAAGTTTGTTAAAATTGCTACCACTTAATGGAATCCAACCACCACCTTCAACTGCTAGCCACGACTCGTCAGCCACCCTCCCCCTCCCCCTGGCCCTGCCGGCGCCCAAAGCGTCGCCCGTGCTGACGACTCCACTCCCCTTCCCTTTCCTAAACCTACGCAACCTTTCCCCATCCCTTATCCCCTTCTCGCTGCCCCAAACCCGAAACCACCCCCCTCCCCATTCGCCCCACCGGAATCGACCCCCTCCCCTTCCCCTACCCTTTTCGGCCACCCCTAACCCTAAACCACCACCTCTAAACCACCATAAGCGAAACCCTAAAACCCGTTTAGGGTGGTTTCGGGCTGGTGGTTTAGGGTTAGAGGTGTAGTTTTTTGGTGATGGGGAGTGGGGTGACTTGTTCGGAGGGAGGAGCAACAACAGTAGCGGCGAATTTTGGACTTATTGTGGTGTTGCGAGAGGTTGAAGGTGAGTAATGGTGGTGCGGTGGGAAGAGCTGTCGTGGGTAATTGAGAAAAGTTAGGGATGGTACATTGGCTGAAAGGTTGGGTTAGGGTCGCAACGGTGGAGGAAAGGGAGGGGGAGTGGGGTCGCCGGCGCCAGGCGACGTTTTCGGCGCTGGCGGGGGGGAAGGGGGGAGGGTTGCTGGGCAGTGATGGTGGTTAGGTGTTTTTTTTTTTTTTTTTTTTTTTTTTTTTTTTTTTTTTTATGGTGGGTCGAGGTGGATGACGGGGAGGCAGTGAGGGTGGCTAAGGAGGGAGTGGTGGTAGTGAGGGTTGTTAGATCTCACTAACGGAAATAGTAACTAAAAATGTTAAGTGGTAGTAATTTTTAACAAACTTGTTTTTGTATGGTAGTAAAATAAAAATAAAATTTTCTCCGGTAGCAAAAGTAAAATACATGTGTTTTGCTGGTAGCAAAAGTGAAAATTTCTTAGAAAAAACTGAAAATAAATCAACAATTGTTTTAGTATATATGAGGTCTACTTGTTGATAATTACAAAAATGTCATGCTAACTTGACATTTTTGTTAATGTATTTATGGTTTTGTAACTTAATATTTGTTTATCAAGATAATAAATTGAGGCTCCCTTCTTTAATGTTGTTAAACTAGACTACACATATTATATTGTACAGGGTACCATACTACCATGTAAGTGGTGAAATATGTACCCACGTAGACAGTCTAGACACGTGCCAATTCGCATGTTTTAATTTGTACTCCATAAGACCATAACTTATTTGGGCCCTAGAAAACGAAACTGCTAGGCGCTAGCAACCATTTCTTGGACTGCTTAGATGTGTAAATTATAAGATAGCCATCAGCTTTGCTGCGTGCCACTTCCTTGCTAAACACAAGGATGAAGACTGATGCAATAGAATTTGACAAATTTTACATCAACCTTTACAATTTTTTCAGATGGACAAAATTGACAATACTTATATGCTAATAGTTTTATAAGTAATACAAGGCAATCAACACAATTTGTTGGACTGATTTAAACCATGCTAATCCCAGATAAGGGTATACACAGAATGTAAATGTGCAACAACATTAGCAGTGGTTGGGCGGCTGTCTTCACATTATAATGAGCGTCTTGCTTTCCGTCCTCTTTGATCCTGGTTAACACAGAATGTAAATGTGCAACAAATAATAAGTCATTAAGCAACGACACTTATAATAAGAATTATTAGAAGTGAATATTCGGGATCTGGAAACTAGCATCTTTCATGCAGACTGTTATTAAAAAAAAAAAAAAAAAGTAATGCTTCTGCAACTAAAGGTCATGCTAATGAACGGTGACAATGTTCATAGTGAACAGAAGTAGCAACTTAGCAGAAAGAACCAGAAAATGGTGAAGGATGATGTTCACAAAAATACTTTGAACAACAATATGTTTATAACTTGTAAAACCAATGCTATCTCTGTTTGACTAAAGGATGATGCACAACGGTGGACAAAGCAAGAATTTTATGATGTTATTCATAGTGGAGGGAGTTGTCGATCTCCATAGTGATTAATTACAGAAATGAAGTTCACATTTTATAGAGAGAACAAGTGAACTATACTACTCAATTCCCATACCTCATATTTTCTCTCATGTCATTCTAAGGCAGAAAGAATTTTCAGTTTCCTGCTTAAGAGGTTCAGACAGCTTCTGGTTTTCCATGCAGCTGAGATGACAATTGAAGCAAATCAATAGTAGTCCCATCTTCACACAACAAATGATCCTTAATGTTCATAAATTTGGAACGGTGGTGTATCTCATTTCCAAATTCAGAGTGTGCATTATTACCATAATTAAGCACTGACATGAAACTTGGTTGATTTCTTCCTGTAGAGCTGACAATAACCGAAGAATACCTGTTTTGAACTTCACTTTTTAAAGCCTGCGCACCATTTCCAAAGATTTTTTCAGAGACTTCGTTCACACTATATTGTGGACTACTGCTTGGTATAATTACAGGGTGACATCCAGGCATTGCAGATGAATGGCCAGAAGAATTTTGTGATTGAAATGACAGAAGAGAGAGAGCACAACCGGACTCTGATATTCCTGCTAATTCTTGAACGGTTGATGTTGCGTCCAAAAGAGCCAAGTCTTCATTCCTAGGTGAGTTTGTTTGAAACAAGGAATGTGAGACTATTACAGGCGTATGTTGATTGACATTCTTGCCAAAGGGAAATTGTGTTCCAGTATTATTCGTGTTGTCAATAAAAGGGAACTGTTTTTCAAAATCTTGAGGGGGCAAAATAGATTTTGGCTGAAGCTGTCTATTTATGCAACTATATGTTGGCATCTGTGTACAGCCTGTTCCATCCTCAACCTTGATATGCTTAACCCAATCATTCGTTCCATATTTCACTGTATGGGAAATGCCTCTTGGTAGTATATCTTGGCAAATAAAGGATGTTGAGGTAGGTGTAAACCCCTGAAAATTGCTTCCTACACAGCATTGAAAATATCTATTGTTATAAAAAGGCATGATGCTGTTTTCCATGAAATACACCAACAATCACTCTATAGCAGCTAGGACATTATTGAAAAAAAAAAAAAAAAATCTTGCAAAGTATGTGCATTAGCCATATAATGATTGATGCAATGATCAGGTAACAAAAATACTAGGTTAGCTAGCAAAGATGTCAGGTTAAAAAAACTACTTTTCTATTGGACTGAATAAACTACAAAGAGACAGAATGCAAAAAAAAAAAAAGAGAAAATAGAAATCAGCTTAACAATAGTCATCATTCAGCACCAAAGTTTGTTTTCTCCAACACCTACAACAGTTCACCACTTTACCTTTCCTTTTCATTTACTTTCTTCTTGCCAAGGGTGGATCTCACAAGGTATTAAATGATAATTCAATGATAAAAATGTATGGATACATCATACATGTTGAAAATATATGTAAGATAAGGTACACTTTAAGACATTTTATTTTACGGTTGAGTGTCTAAACCACCAACAAATCTGTTTTAATATATACTTTGTACAAGAATAACAACATAGAATTAAAATGCAGACAAAGGTCAATTAGACAGCAATTAACAGGTAAGTTGCTCCAAATTGTAGGCTTTTGGATCAGAGAGGGCATGGAGTGAGTCATGGGTATTGAAAGGTAATCATGATCCAATCATTAGTGTATGCACAAAAAAAAAAGTTGAAGATGTAAAGAAGACACTTCCAAGGGAGGGGAAAAAGGTTTCATTCGCACCATATCGAAGGAAATAACTTCTTGGATTTGTCATGCTCCCATTTTCTTAACCAAAATCTAGAAGTGGGCTAAATCATTGCAGAGCATTGCGCTGTACAAAGAACCCTATGATCAATTGCCATTTAAAAAGACCCTCACTATTATTTGTCAAAAAAAGTAAGAGCCACCCCCCCCCCTTCCCAATAATGACGCAGAGTCCAAATTGATTGAAAGTGGCATATTAATCCACAGCCTATAATTGTCACACATTTACAGCTTACACTTTCCTACTAGGAGAGACTAATTTCAAAATATTCATGAGGTAAAGAGGATAAATTGATGTTACCAGTGTATGACTGAAACGATCTCCCATTTCTATTACTAAAGCCTACTTGAGGTTTCCTTCTCCTTTCATTGTGACCTGCAAGTCGTTTACGACAGCTTCGCTTACCATCATCAAACTCACCCAGCAAATGGAACCTGTATCACCAAAAAGCCAGTTTTTAAAAACAGAAAATGTCACTTTTAGCCATTAGAATAACTAATAGTTACCGAAAATCCAAAATGTGCTCTAAGATTGTATCACACGCAAGTGGCATTACGAGGAAAAGTCTTGAATGGTTGACATTGTATGAAAGAGGAGTATGAAACATCACGAAACATGAAGAAAGCAAAATATTTTGGAAATTTAACACTACTTAATTGCAAAACATAATAAATTAGGGGCTTAGCTGAAATTTTACAACCAGATGCATCAAGCATAAGTTGATACTTGATACAAACTTGGATTTATCAAAAGGTAAAGAAGAGATCCTATCACTTGCTGCGAATTCTCGTCAAAAACATAATGTTATCAGTGTTTCTTTCAATCAAGATAGCTGGTGAACAATTAACAGGAAGCACAATCAAGAGTTTTGTGAATATGGGGTTAAGAGGAGATTTATTAGCAAGTTCACTGCTGCTCACATAATGTTGTATCTACAACCCAGGATCGGAAAAATGAGGTCTTACCTGATGAATCTAAACTAGTAGGCAGTCCAAAAGATCCAGAATAATAAACATTATAGCAAAACAATAGCTCCAACTTTTTCCTACATAATGAATAGAGGCTCCAAATGTACTCATGCCCATAAGGCCATAAGTGGATAAAGAATGAGGAGAATCACAAACCTGCTACACTGCTGACAAAACCTCTGCTCAATACCATTAACAATAACTTTAGGAGTCTTTGAATGAACATCACAAACTTTATGCCTCTTGTGGTAATCTTTCGCGGAACTGAGATCTTTATGGCAGCCATAAACTTGGCAATGTACAGCCTGAGAGCTCACTCGAGCCCTTTTTGGAGGTGTTGGAGAGTCAGCTGAAGACAAAACATGAGCTGTTGCTGTTCTAGTCGAACTAGAATTTGGATTATCACCAAATCCACCCAATTTCAAATCAATTAGTGATGATTCACGGCTACTTGAGTCCATAACCGAGCTCGAAAATTTAGAACTTGATTCATCATCTCCAGAAAAGGCATTAGTAGTAACATAAGAGCTATAAAAATCTCCAACACTACCATTATCCTCTAACTCATTCCTTGTTGAATCAGTAGGACATTGTATTCTTACCATTTCTGCAATACCCAATTCAGAATAACTACGATTTTCGACGGATTGTTGACTAGGGGTTAGCACACTATCCTCATTAGTGATTTTATGTTCCCATCCTATTAACACATTTTTACCTCTAACAATTGCATCAGATTGAGAGATGGCTTCATTTGATTCAAAACCCTTATCCAATGAATCAAACCACCAGGATTCCATAATATATAACAAGATCAATATCCCAAACACCACATATGAAATCCCCAAACAAAAATTTGCAATTAAATTCTTAATTTGATGTTTAGCACCAGAAAACACAATCAAAATCATACAACTGAGCTAAAATTTGGCACAAAAATTGTAAACCCCACTAAAAAGAACCTCAATTACAATCAATTTGAAGTTTAACACCAAAATTCTTGAATTTAAAGCTGAAAACTTGCAAAAAGATTGAAGAAACCCAGTAATAAATAAAGCAAAATCAAAAGAACCCAGATACCAAAAATCAAAACCCCATCAAAATTCAGAAAAATAAAGTCGAAATTCAGAGAGATCATTCAGTGTACAAAATAATTACTTTACAAAACCAAAAGCAATGAAGAAGAATCTCAAAACTGGATAAAAAGAACAGTTAAAGAGATTACCAGTATTTGGATAGAGTGATGAAGCAAACAGTAGATAAAGGAGTAGGTACTAGGAATAAATAGTTATTCTTTTTTGGAATTTTCTTATATTACTTAAATTTACAATTGTCTGAAGCTTAATCAAGGGTTTTTCTGGTTACTTTTGTAGTGGCTTTTTGGGAGGCAGGGGAGTAAGAGAATTGAAGGAGAAGAGTGCAGTGAGCTTTTGTCAATTCTTTTCTTGCCAAATAAGATCTTAATTTCCACAACTTTAGGCATAATGTTAGGCGGTTTGAGTCAGAAGATTTTGGCAAATTATCCATTGTCATACGAGGGTGTTCGACTGTTTGAGTATATATTTGGGGATTACAATAAGCAAGTTTATATATACTTGCCTACTATTTCTTTTAAAAAAAAAATACTAGCCTACTAAGTGCCTTTTGAAAAATCCCGTTCAAAAAAAAGGTGCCTTTTGATAAAGATAAAAAATAAAAAAAAATACTAGTCTACTAGGTGCCTTTTGATATAAAAAATAAATAAATACTAGCCTACTATTCTTAAAAGAAAAAAAATAGGTGTCTTTTGATGAATTCTCCGAGAATATTCTAGGTCAAAGTTAAATTTGACCGACTTTTAACCCGATCGATCCAATAATAATAGTAATTTTTGTATAAATTGAGATTAGGAAGGATTTAACATGATTTGATTAAACTTTGCACTCTTTTTATGGTTAGAGTTGGTTAATTTTTTTTTTTGAATGTTTATTAAGATTTGCTATTTTACACATAATTATTGTACTCTGTATTTAATTATTGAGATATGGTATATATTCCAAAAATAAATTGAATTAGTCCATTAGCTCAACCCAAAAAAATTGAAAAGTATTGTGTTTTATTTTTTATTTTATTTTTTTGGCACAAAGGTACTCCGTATTTAATAGGGGACCTTAGGTGGGCATAAAAAATGCACGCATAAACTTGGGTAATATTATGTTTGATGCCTAAGAATACCCAAAATGGTTATTCCTAAGAATTATTTCCTAAAAAAACCTTCTTCACAAAAATGTAGATGAAATTAGGCACAAAAACTTGTGTGGACGTGGTTCACAATAATATTATTGTGGACCTAACATCGATACGCATGCAACTAAAGTTATATCAAATATAGTGACCCTAATTTTTAAAAAGTAACTTTGATTTTAACATTGTTTGATTATTAAAAATTGAGTGACCTTTTATGTTATTGCGAACCTGAATGACGTATGTTAAACATAGAGCCCCAAATTTTAATATAGTGACTTTTATTATTTAAATTGACCAATATATAAAAAATATCATTACGAAAATTTAACCTCTTATGACTTTTATAATAACACAATGACTTTAATTTTTTACCTAAATTATTAGGTTATCTAAAACATATCTCCTTCATAAGATATCCTCTAAAATATTATCACAATAATATTTCTTTTAATACTAAACTCCTAATGCTACAACAATCATCATATAACTCATATATAAAGCTAAACTTTTAGTCGGGTCATGAGAAAAAGTGTTTTAACTTTTCACAAATTGTCGCGCTACGTAGATGACATGTAAGGATTTACATATTTTTGTATGTGGCTGGCCACATGGTGTGGCCAGAATACATAACGAGCCTATAGTGTTTAGGCCCAACATATTATGGACCTCAATTAAAAAAATAACGGGCTTATTACATTCTCCGTTATTTTAGAATTCCAACCGTTTTATTTGAAATTGCAACTTTCCATCTTCTTTTCTCCAAACCGCCATTATTAGAGACTAGTCACTTCAATCAAACAACCATTATTATAGACTTCTTAGTTCCATTTCCTTGTTCCTCCTGCATTTTTCACTATCCTTCTGCAATTTCCTCTCTTTTTGTTCTCTCTAAATTCTCTATAGTTTTTCGAATTATTGAAAATGATTAAATTGAAGATCATCAATCCCAAAGGAAAGAAAGGAACGTCTTGCTGTAAAATCGTTGATGGAACAAGTATTTTTTAAATCCTAATTTGTACCTTTTTAAGAATTTTGGACATTGTTATTGTTTTTGCGAGTGTTTTGACCTAAGATCATATGTATTTTGTTCAATTTTTTTTCCATATTGTTTTTTGGGAGTGTTTTGACCTAGGTTTCAAGTGTTTGACCTAAGTTTTGGTTTACGATTTCACTCACAATATCTCGTTCTATTTGTTTTCTGAATTTTGATCTTTGTTTAGATTTTGTTTTTGTTTGTATTTTCTAGTTATTTTATGTTGTTGCAAATGTTTAATTCTCTTTTGTTGTGGTTCTGAGGAGTTACTTGATTACTTAGTTGTTGTCTTTATTTGTTGTTTTATTTTTTAGGCTTACGTTTATGTATGTTAGGGTTTTTGTTGTTGTTTTTGCGATTGTTATGTTTTGACTTGGTTTTGCTGTTGATAATGCTTAATTGTATTCCGTTTAGTGCCTCTGATAGGTTTTATTTTTTTAGTGATTTTTAGGGTTACTTTTAAATGTTACTCGTATGTATATCATGGTAACTGGTATTTTGTTGTTCCAAATGCTTAATTTTGTTGAGTTTAGTGTCTCTTATGAGTTAATTGAGGTCTGTATTTGTTTAATGGTTTGTTAGGATTACTTTTTAGTGTTACATGTATGTATATCATGGTTACTGTTATTTTGTTGTATATTAGCGGTTGCTTGATTGCATATGTTTAGTTGTTTGGGGTTGCTTGCACGGTTTCATATGTCCGAGGTTTCTGATTTTGTTTATTCAAAGAAAAACAGAATGTTATAGAGGATGAGCGTAATGAAGAAGTTAAAGATGAACACGCAGAGGTCGTAAAGCTGCTGCAACTTCTAGTCAAGTCGTTGAAGTTGTAAAACTTGAAGAGGGGTATGAAACATTATTTATTATATTTTATTTATTTATTTATTTATTGTTCTTTGGTTTAATTTCTCATGTATTGTCTATTTATCATGCTTTTGTTTACTTTTTCTCGTGTTAAGTTTGTTTTTCATTACTTAAGTGAGTTTATTGAATTATTTTTGTTGGGATTGTAATAGATATGGGTTACTTGTAACAGGTTTTTATTAATTTTATTATACGAGTTATTTGTAAAGGGATTGATTTTTAGAAGGATTACTTATATGAGTATTTCTTGTTTGGTGGTTATAGGTTACTTAGAGGTTTTTATATGAATGTTACTTGTTATGTGGTCACTTGTTTGGTGATTATGGGTTACTTGTAACACTTGTAAAAGGTATATAATCCCCCATATTTTTAGCTTCATTATAATATATTTCCTTATTATTTAAATAATTATTTTATCTTATTTTCATTAAATAAATTATTTTATGTATACTTAATTAAACTCTATTAAATTAATAGGCACTAATTTAATTTAAATTTATCTTTCTATACACCAACTTATTTTGTTAGTAATGTTAGTTAGCCCAATTTTGAATAGAAAGCTTAAACTCCTATTCAAGCCCAAAGCTACAAATTCCTACTCTTACTTAAACTTGGAAACCAAGCCCACATGTCTATTTAAAAACCCCAAAAACCCTGAAAATTTTTCCCCCTCTTCACGTCAATCCCCCATCTCCCTTTTGCTGCTCACGAACCAGAAGAAAAAAAAAATTATGCTGCTGCCCCGTACACCGTCACCGCTGCCGAGCACCACCAGAACAACCGGCAACCCTGCTGTTGTCCGGAACTACCGGACAATCACTGGTTTCCTCCACTTCCCTTTCTCTTCTATCTTTCTCTCTTTTCTTGTGTTAAACTTCAATAAACCTTCAATCTTTATATGAATTTTTCCATTGAATATTAATTATTATGGTTTGATTATGTATATGACTTATAAAAAAATTGCAAATTTATGAATTATACTATGTTTGATTTATGGAACAAAATTTAAGATTTGGTTTATTCAAGAATTAAGGTTTAATGTTGTTTTTTCATGATTTTGGGGTTTAAAACGTGTTGATTAAGTTACATAATTATAGTATGTGTAAATTATGTTTAAATTCAATTATCTTGATTATAACTTAATTTTCAAATTTGAATTATGTATATTTTAGGGTTTGAGTTGTGAAATTTAAAGGTTTAATTGAGTTTTTATGAAATTAATTGAATTCTAATTATATATTTCAAGTTAAGATTGTTGTATTCATACATTCTACTATTAAATTAAATTCATGATATTTAATCTTGCTTTAAAGGTTTTAAATCATGGTTTTATGATGGTTTTTTAGGTTTTTAACATACTAACCTACTATATAATAATTATTTTAAGTAGAGATGTTTATGAGGTTGTTTTATAATCTTAAACTAAATTTTTAGATTATAATCCTTACTTTAAGTTGCTGGAATTTTATGTTAGAAGCTATATTTTCATGATTTTAACGTATAAAATTATAGTTGAACTATTGAAATTAACTTTGACTATTGTGAGTAATTTAAAGGCATTATTTCAATGGTTTAAGGGGTTTAAAGTAGTTTGGTATTGCTGTATATTGCTTGGGTATTGATTGAATTATTATTGTTTGGTTTAGGAAAGGACTTCGTAGAGGGCGATTTCTAGTTCCTAAAGTGGCCAACCAACTCGATTACTCAAGGTACGTACAAAGATACGAAAAACCTTGACTTTAGGAACATGTTTAAGGACTTGAAAAATTTAGATTTATGTTAGGGAACTTGTGGATTGGTTGAAATTGTATGGTAGTAGGTAAATTTGGTTGGTAATTAATGTGATGATTTGGTTTTAATCCATCCATGTGTGAGAAATGTGTATTGATTTATCTTGTAAGTATTGATTAGGGGATTTTTATCCACCAATCACCGTCTGACAAGTGGACCAACCAGGTTCTGCCACGTGTCCTTCACGTAGGCCAATAGGAGCCTGCCACGTGTCAATCACAGATATGTCCTCTACGGACCAATTGAGACACGCCACGTGTCCACCCATGCCAAATGGGAAAACCGGCCAACAAGGCCCAATCCTGTTTAGAGGCCCAGTCAGCCCTAGGTTTACCCTAAACCTAGAGAGTGGCACGCTTCCCGAGGTTATAAATACCCCTCTTAATCCTCATTAAGAGGGGGAGGACTCGAAAACAACACACGGATTACACATTAAACACTCTCACCTAGAGAGACTAAATCACTTTAATTTCCGCATTTATTACTCCTTAATCAGGTACTAACTTGACCGTTGGAGGCGGAGCTCCTACCACAAGGAGTCTTCGTTGTTTTGCAGGTACAGGCGTCCGGTTCCAGTCTCGGTGTTGTAACTCTCCCGCAGGACATCAGAAAACCCCGAAACATTTTGGCGCCGTCTGTGGGGAGAGTACTTCTGAGATGGCATCCACGTTTGTACCGACTTTTGAAGAGAGGCGTCCCCTAGACGACCCTCAAATCCAGTCGGACCATGATACTGACAATGAACTTGAAGTTGAAGCTCACACAGCTCCAGACGGGACCCTAAGGGCCCGACGCACCCGTCATACCGAAAGGAGGGAACGGGAACATCTTCAAACTGGACTCAGTGATCCAGCCGGCGCACCGCCTGTTCAGCAGCGGCCGGCTGATGGGTCTGCTCCCATCACAAGGAACGAACTCATGACCTTCA